GGCCCCCAGTGCCCGGGCCCGCCGGACACGCGCTCTTCCAGGACGTGAGTGGGGCGCGGACGCGGGGGTTGATCTATCCCTGTCTCTTCCTGCCCTCACTCGCTTCTCCGTTCCTCCCTGTGTCTGTCTCTACCTGTGTCCCTGTCTCCCCAGGTCTCTTGACCCTGCCCTTCTGGCTCTGGTCCCTCACTGTCTCTGACCCTGCTCTCCATCTGCGGAGGTCTCCCTTGATCTCTCTGCGTTGTGTCCCCAGTCCTGCCTCCGCCTCTCCGTGTCTCCTTGTCCCTGCTCCAGTGACACTGCCCCTGATGTCTGTGTCCCCAAGCCCACCTCATCTGTGTGGCAGCCCCGGGCTGGGCTCGCGGGGCAAGGCAGCCTGGACACAGGTAGGAGCCTCTCCTGACCCAGTGCTGCCCCCGACCCCTCTGTGGCATGATCCAAGGGCAGCAGAGTCCTGCAGATGGTAAGAGCTGCCCAGGCATCCTCTGTGGCCCAGTACACCTCCCACCGGTGGGCAGGTGGCCCTGCAGCCCCCTGGGTTGCTGCCCTGAGCCCCTTTCCTGGCCCTCAGCCCTTGCCAAGCCCTCCTGGCCCTCTTCTGTCTCCACCCCAGAGGTCCCAGCCCCCTCCCCACCTTCCCCAGTGACTCAGCACCTTGCCCACAGTCCTGGCTGACCCGCCTGCTCCCAGATGGGGAAACTACAGCCTGAAGGGCTCCGTCCCTCCTAGCTCATATTTACAGGCAGGGGCATGACAGTGGCCCCAGGTGTCATCATTCCCAGTTTAACTGCTCTGTCCCCCCATTATGTCCATGTTTCCCACCCAGGCCTCACTGGGCTGCTGTGTGACCACAAGTCAGTAGCATACCTTCTCTGAGTCAGGCTAGAGCTCAGATGCATTCATTGCTCACCCTTATTGACCCAGAGGGAGTCAGCTGAAAGGGGTTGGCACTTAGGATCTGCAGCTCTGAGGGCGATCTGTCCAGGGTCGGGCACACCTCTTTTAGGCTTCCCAGGCTGCAGGGCACCTGGAAGCCTCTAGTCTTGACTACACTCCTCTTTGCCTTCATTGCCTTTCGTTTCCACCTCTCTGTAAGTTAAATCTTTGACCCTTGCCTTCCGCCACCCTCACACCCCTTAGCACATCCATGCACACACCTGCCCAAGGGCCTCACTCTGATTTGGCTGCATAAGAAGACCCAGTCCTAAAAGGGTTAATCCCAGGCTGCTCCCTCTTGTGCTAGTGGGAAAACTGAGGCACCTCAAAGAAAGGACTGGCGACTGTCTGCCTGTCATCTTCCAGTCTCTGGAGGGAACAGCTCAGAGAGGCCAGAGAGACTGGGATGGAGTCTGGACAGTCACACAGCAGAATTGCGGTTCAGGTCTCGGGGGCTGCCCAGGGTGTTCGGATCACAACTTGGCCCATCTTCCCAACCTTCTTGCTTCTGGGGCTGGGCCAAGGGCTGATGCATCAGACAGGACTCAGGCTAGCCTGTGGGGGTGGGAGGCAGAGAACTACCTGGAGCACCCCATGGGGCTGGGCCCTGCAGGAGAAGGGAGCAAGTGCCAACCCGCTGTGTGTGCTTCCTGTGCCCCCCTTGTTGGAAAGCTCCTGCAGGCAGCCCAGCTGAGGCCCTGTGGGCCGGGCGAGGCTGGCAGCCTCCCAGGTTCCCCTCACAGCACCCTCTCACACCCATTTGTCCCCTAGGTTTTCCGCCGAGCCGACAAGAATGGTGAGTGTGGGTGGCTTCCTTGGGTCCCTTGGTGGGGGCAGAATGGAGGACACGGGTGAGGTCTTGTGGGCCCCAACAGGAAAATCAGTCAAGGCATCCTGCCCAGAGAAAGTACTCTTCTGATCTGAGCCAAGTTTGGCAGGAAGGAGAGCAGAGGGCATGGGGTTTGGCCATAGGCTGGAGGTGGGGGCTTACTTTCTCCATGTTCCCCAGCACAGTGATGGTGCTTCCTGTACATGGCCTCCTCTGTCCTCACAACAGCCAGCTAGGTTGTGATTCCTCACCCGTTTTCCAAAGGAGTAGCCCACCCAGGGAGGTGAAGCAAGTTGCCTGAGGTCACACATCCTTTAACTGGGGAGCTTTGAGCCCAGGTCTGTGTGATGTTGGCCCCAGGCCCGCTGTGTGAAGGGCTTGGAAGGGTAATGGAGGCTTTGTGAAGAGGCCTCCTTAACTTTTCACTAGACCCAGCATCTGCATGCAGGTTAAGCTTGGAGGGCGCAGTGAAACCCAATCTTTGGGTGGGGATAAAGGTGGCTCCATCATCCAAGGAGTCAGCTCCCCCTGCTGGGGCCATGAAAGTATCTGATTTGGTCTAGAAGAGCCCTTAGGGGACTCAGCAGGCAACAGATTGTCACCCTAGAGGACTGAGAGCAGCCCACTGTGCTACTTGACCAGCAGAGAATCTCAGACCCCGCCCTGTGTCTTCGGACCCTCTTTGGTCCCAGCCTCCTGAGATGGGATCATATCCCGACTCCCTAACCCTTCTCCTTGGGTCTCTTCAGATTGGTGGGGACCATTTGTCCTGGCCCATTGATGGGAACCCTTGCTGACACTGGGCATTCCATCTGGGCGGCTCGGGACTCCCTAGCTCCACGCCTGAGTTCCCCCGTCTGCTTAGAGGCCTTGCACATCATTCAGACCAACTCCCCTGTGTCTTTGGCCTCCCGCAAAGGTGTTGGGAGCTCATTCCCTCCTGGGCCAGCCTGCTGCACTTAAAGAGGCTGCTTTGAGACCTCATCTACCTCCCCGTGGCTTCTCTGTGGAGGGCCTGGATCCAGAGCATGGCAGGTCCCTGGAGTAGGGCTGTCCCCTCCCAAGTCCTCTCCGCTGAGGCCCCCCCATGCTTCGGTTGTTCATAGGGTGTTTTCATTCTTTCTCCACTTGGCAACATTTTTTGAGGCCCTGTCCACTGCCAGGCACACAAAGTGGGCTCTGTTCCTTCAGCAAAGATCTTTGAGTCCTCCGATCCTATCTTCAATGGTCAGGGTCCCCACTAAGCTCAGAATCCCATTCTACCTGGCTGGGTGCTTGTGAGATGCTGGGGGCTCTGGGGGCACGTAGGGATAGGGGAGCAGCCAGGGCTCAGGGATACCTACTCTGCCTCCTCTTCCCCCAGACGATGGTAAGCTCTCCTTTGAGGAATTCCAGAATTACTTTGCCGACGGGGTTCTCAGCCCAGGGGAGCTGTGGGAACTGTTCAGCGGCATTGAAGGGCATCCCACCGAGTGAGTACTGAGTACAAGAGGGCAGGGCTGAGCTGGGGGCGATGCCAGGCCAGGGTGTCCCAATCCCACTGGGTCTCCTGCCTCGGTTCTTTTTGGAGGGTGGTGGGGGGCAGAGGGAGAAAGGTGCCAGCCTCGTGCCAGCTTCACCCACCCACCTACCCTACCCCAGCTTCAGCTTTGTCCACTAGGCTGCTTCCAGCTGGTGCCCCAAAATAGGCAGGCTTGAGTCACTGCCCGTGGCTCAGCCCCTCCATTCCCCCTTCCTGCAGGAGCCAGAGGATGCCTGGGGACAGCTGGGCCTGCCTCCACCCATGGGTGCAGGTGCAGACACACGCGTGCACGTGCGTACGTGCGTGCGTGCGCGCGCGCGCACACACACACACACACACACACGCACGCCTTTCTACGTGTACTCCCACATCCACACATCCTGGCGCAAATGTATGCTTCTTCTCACGCTTCCTGGGTACATATGCATCGCAGTGTGTACACAGCTGCCCTCTGTCTCCTTAGGATAAATTCCAGATTCTAGGTTGGCTTTCACAGTTCCCCAGATTTGGGCTGGATCACCTGCAGTGTTCCCCTCCCCCTCAACAGATTCCCTGTCCAGCTAAGCGGGCAGTTGGGTGAGGACGCTGGCTTCCGCACCCCTTTGCCAGGCCCAAATCTAAGGCTCTGAAGAGTGCCTTTTCTTTCCCTGCAGCAATTTAGAGACGGAGAAACTGTGTGGTGAGTAGGCCCACAGGGGCCCCGGGCAGGTGGGTGTGGGTTCCTGAGGCACGGTATGGGCCGGGCTCAGCATATGAGGCCTGCTTGGCAGCTGTGGAATCCCAGGCGGCCAGCATTCAGGTTGTGTAGGTTGGTGGGGCTGGGTCCTTGAGTGCTGCTTCTGCCCACAGAGTACTTTTCAAAGCACCTGGGTGTCTACCGACCTGTGCTGGCTGCCCTGGAGACGCTGAACCGAGCGGTGCTCACTGCCATGGACACCACCAAGCTTGTGAGTACCAGGCCTGGGGTCAGGGATGTTGGCTGTGCTGTATGACCCATACCTGTCAAGCAGGGCTGTGGGGCTAGAGGCCTGGGTTCAAATGCCAACACTTCCATTCTGTGGCTATGCTCCTTTTATCTCTCTGGGCCTCAGTTTCCTCATCAGTAAACCAGGGAAAATAATGGAGCCCACCTCTTACCTTCTCTGTGACAATTAAAATGAGAGTGAAGGCAGGGATTTTTGTCTGTTGTTCTCTGCTCTGTTCACAACACCCAGAACAATTCCTGGCACAGCAGGTGTTGCCATTTTTGCTTTTGCTACTGGCCAGTAACCCAGCGGTGAGGGGTTCCTGCTGTCACAGGTCCATAGTCAGGAGGCCTGTGGGGTGGGAGCCTGGCTTGAGGATAGAAGGGAGTAGCAAGTACATGTGATGTGTGTGATGTGTGGAGGCCTGTGTGTGTGCAAGTGTAGACAGTGCCACCAGCCAGGGCTCTGGGCCCATGGGTGGTGGCTTCAGAAAAATAAGCCACACTTACCTTTCTTCAGTGTTCCTTTTTTTTTTTGGTTATCTGAGACAGGGTCTCACTGTGCAGTCCAGGATGGCTTTGAACTCTGTAGTTCAGGCTGGTGATCCTCTTGCCTCAGCCTTCCCAGAGCTGTGCTACCACACCCAGCTCCCTTCAGTGTTTCTTTCCAGAACTGTGTCCAGGGCTGGGGATTTAGCTCAGTGGTTCCACCACCTGCCTCGCAGGTGCAAGGTCCCAAGTTCGATCCCCAGTACCAAAAAAGAAATGTGTCCACTTCCCTTTGCCCCAAAGGTGGGGAGGGAGCAGGGGGCCCAGGATAGTGCCTGACCTTACTTTACAGAGAAAGGGAAACATCCTCAGAGTCAGAGTACCCGCTGAGCACATGGTAGAGAGGGGGTGTGTCTCCTGGTTGAATTCACATGCAATTCAGTAGCTTTTCAAAGGGTTGCCCCAAGCTTGCTCGGTGACCCATGCCTGTTAACCTAACTACTTGAGAGCCTGGGGGAGAAGAAGTCTGCAATTTCAAGACCAGCTTGGTCAATTTAGAAAAACCCTGTCTCAAAACAGAAAAGTAAAAGTCGGGCATGGTAGTACACACCTGTATTCCTAGCACTCTAGGAGGCTAAGGCAAAAGAAAGACAAAAGAAAGAAAAGTTCCATTCCAACCTAGGCAACTTAGTGAGAACTTGTCTCAAAAAAGAAAAAAGGGGGCCAGTAGCACTGTGCCTGCCTAGTAAGCCCAGGTTCTGAGTTCAATCCCTGGTGTGTGTGTGGGGTGGGGGGTGGCTAGGGATGTCGCTCAGGGCAATCCCTGGTACTTTAAAAAGGATAAAATAAAATAAGAAAAAGAGTTGAAGGTGTAGTTTAGTGGTGGAGCACTCTTTCAGGGCCTGGCCTTGGGGGTGGCAGTGGGACTGGCATATTCTGAACTGGCAGTGGTTGGGGGGTTCAGACTGCAGGTCAATATGTGGGCTGTACTGGCCCAGCTACCTGCTCCTGACCCAGAAAGAGAGAGTGGGGGTAGCCCATCCACACACGAAAACCCTGCAGCTCCAGACATTTGAGATTCTTTTATCTGGTGCTCTTGCTCTGAAGAGCTGTTCAGCCTGGAGTCTGTCCTGCAGTATCTATCTCCCTGGTGCACAACCCCCACCCCAGTCAGTTGAACACTTCGTGCACCAGCCGGGAGCCACACTCCTGGTACATGGCCCGGGTCATCCAGCCACGTTGGAAAGAGTGCAAGGAGGCCACCATGGAGCCTCCAGTCCACACAGCCATGCCACGCCCAGGCTTGGCCACCAGGCGGGGCTGTAGGGCCGGGTAGCCGTGCCGCCGGCACTGCGCCTCCAGCTCTAGGTCCAGGCGCTCAGCAAAACCAGGGAAAAGTGTGGAACCCCCGGCCAGCACCACGGTGTTGGCCAGCCGCTTCCGCAACATCTTGGGCATCTTCTGCAGTGCTCGGAAGGCCAGCGTGGGCAGTCCTGGCTCAGCCTGGCCTAGCAGACCCGGCTGGAAGATGGGTTCTGGGCAGCGGAAGCGCTCACTGCTGAGGGACACGGAACTGCCATTGCCCATCTGGAAACTGGCTGGATGGTGGCAGGCGGGGTCACGAAGATCGCCGTAGAAGTCCAGCGACACATAGCAACAGCGCTTCTTGAGCTGTGTGACGGTCTTGCGCGGCAGGCCCTGCAGTCGGAGGTCGGGACACGCAGCCACCAGCAGCTCTCGCAGGTAGCGCGACAGGGTGCTGCCTGCCACGTCCAACCGGAAGCTGGCCTTGAGCCACGAGTGCCCGGCGTAGATCGGTGTGGCGTGACACACGCCCGCGCCCGCCTCCACCGCCAGTCCGCTGAGCGCCCCGGCGGAACAGAGCGCCAGCTGCGCGGTGCTGGCCACGTGGCACGCGGGCACATCCAGGGCCTCAAACAGCAGCTCCGCCACCTTCTCGCGGCCCTCGGGCGGCGCCGAAGGGGAGTCACTCACCAGCACAGGCCACTGCTCCGGGCACACCTGCAGGCCACCCACCAGCAGGCGCTCCCACAGCCCCTCCAGCGCCTCCCAGTCCACCACCACTCCATGCTTCACCGGATGTGCGCGCGACACGCCGCCCACCAGCTCGCAGCCCGGGGCGCCGGGAAGCACGGGCCGGTCCCAGCTGGGCACTAGGCTGGAGCTCTTGAGCACTACGCGCGGCTGGTCCTCACCCGCGAAGCCGGCCTTGGTGAAGCCCGAGCCCTGGTCCACCACTACTGCAATGTGGCCCAGCGAGGGCGGCCGGCGATGCCGGCGGCTCCCGGGCACAGATGCCACTTTCTCGGCAAAGGGCCTAGCCCCCAGCCCCTAGGCCTGTGTCCCTTCTTTTTCGGACTGAATTACGACCCTTTTCTATTATTGGCTCCGCCTTCTGATCACAAGGCCCCGCCCCTGATTCCGGTTCTGCGGGCGGTTTTTGCCAGGGCTTCAGGCCCAGGCACCTTCACAGGACTCGCCTCTACTCTGCTGCTCTGTCCCCTCGGCACTTGCAGATGCGGATGACAAGAGGGTCAGACCAAATCCTTTTCAGTGTGGAAAAGCTGCCATAGAGCAGAGACCTGGAAATCAAGAAGCCTTGTGGCAAGGCCATCTGGACGTACGCCCTCCACGTGGTGCTCAATGTCCAGCCTAGCCCTTAAGCCCTGGCAGTCCCCTGGTGCTTTTCACCTGATGTGGACGAAGAGGTTCCTGGTTGTGGAGGTGGAAGGGAATGGGCAAAGAAGAAAGAACTTGGATCAGACTCATTGTGACCTCAGTCCTCGGTACTACCTGTGCTTCTGCACCACCCACCGCCCCGCGCCCCCCCCCATAAGAACTTCCTAGACCCGGACTGGGGATTTAGCTCAGTGGTTCCACCACCTGCCTCGCAAGTGCAAGGTCCTCAGTTTGATCCCCGGTACAAAAAACAAAACAAAACAAAAAAAACTTGCTAGACTCGTGTCCCTTCCTGGCCAGGCAGAGGGCAGCAATTTGGGCATCTTGTGGTCCTGCCTCAGCCCAACAAAACCAAGCTGATTTTCCCCCAACTGCTTTGGGTTATCTGCTGTCCTCTGGCAAGAGGTTCCACCTTCTACTCCCAGTGATGAAGAGCAAGGTCTTACTTGGGGCTGGACAGCTCCTCAGAGGACTCCCGTGCTCGGCTGTAAGAGACGCAAGCATCCCACACAGAGTCCCACCTAACCGTGACTCAGTTCTGAAGCTCACTGCCCAACCCTGAGCTCTTCTTTCTCTAAACTGCTTTTTCTCTCAAAAAGTGGTGGTAACAGGACAGGGGACACTTGTCTCTGCAGGGCCTCATTCTCTTAGGGCCTTTTTACTTGGCAGTAGAAAATTCAGGTGAACTCAGGAACAGGATCTGACTGCAGGATTGGGAACCCGGATGTGTGCTTTGTGGTGTGTGTGTGTGTGCGCGTGTGTGTATGGTTCTGGAGTTGGAACCCAGGGCCTTTTGCACACTGGGCAAGTGCTCTCCTGCTGAGCAATATCCTCAGCTCCTACATTGTGTTTTTCTCTTTTGAAGACTGGCTTTAGCCAGTGCATATTGAAGTAGAAAGCATGATCTCTTTTAGCTCCTTAATTACAGTCTCAGGGAAGGGGCTGACAGGGCCAGCATGGGCCAAGCGTGCACAGATGAGATGGCTATCCTGGTTGTAATCGTGTGGATGGAAGGGCAGAGTTTGTTCTTACGATGCACAGCGGACATGCTATGGGTCATGCCCCAGCCAGCCAGATACAGGCCTTGTGGAGGAGATGTACTGAGTGACGAAAATGTCTCTTCTGCAGAAGCTGAGCCTGTGGCTCTAGTGAGCTGGGCCCTTTCATTCTGCTACAACTGCCTCAAGAAGGGCTGAGGTGCCTTTAGGTTCTGGAGCTGGATTTGGGACACAGGCTCCTGGCCAGAGTGTGCTGGAGGGATTCTCGTGAGTGATGTAGGGAGCAGGCCTCCCACTGGAGATCCCCAGTGCCAGTATGGCCAGAGCCGGGGTGAGGGGCCCTAACTGGGAAGACGGGCTGGGAGCTGGCTCTGCATATCTCAGTAATACTTCTGAGCTTTTACCTGGGCCAGTGGAGAACCCGTAAGACTTAGCAACAGGAAAGTGAACGGCTCTGGACAGATAACTGACTTGAAAGATGTTTCTGGCTAAATGTGGAGAAGGGGATGAGACAAGGGGACACACGTGCTACTGAATTTGACCAAGGTGCCTGGAAATCCAGGAGGGCTGAGTGCTTGCAAAATCGGAGTCTCAGGCCCCTCCCTTCTGACGTGGGATCCTCGCTATTGTTCCCTGGGTTGTGCCCATTGCCTAGGACCCTTCTGCCTAGGAGGGATTTCTGAATGCCTGGTGCTCTTGGACATGTCAGGCCTTTGCTGGAAATGGGTTCATATCCAAGCCTAGGTTTGTCCGAGCTCACCTCCCTTGCCCTGGGCTGCCAGGATCGGATCCGGGCTGGAGTATAGGGAAATAGTTTCTGGTTCTGACTCTATCACAGGAACAAGACAAAGACAGCTCTGGCTTCAGTCCACAGTTCTGCCCGCCGTCCGCCCTATTCTTCCCTTCCTTGGCAGGGCCTCAACTTTTCTTCCACCTCTACGGCCCGGACGGAGTTAATAGACGCCAGGGTTGCTAAGTGCCCTTTATTATTAGGCAGCACCCGGGCGGGCGCTCAGGGCCCCAAGAGAGTGCATCTCCTTCGCCGCTGGCCAAGGTTGAGCCCGGCACCCGCCTCGCTCCGGCT